TAATTTTATGGTTGCTTTAAAGATTCAGCCCACGGCGTACAAGTTATTACAACAATTAGCAGTTTATAAACGTGTTCGAAATATTAATATTGTAAATGTATTGTACAAATAGTTGTAATTTAATTTTCACCCGACGAAGCGTTTCATTGACCAAAGATCGTACAACATCCAAGACGACAGCGGATTATCCCGATTTAATTTCGAATTAATTTTTCATCATTTTTTCGACTCGTATAGTAGCACTGAATGAGTGCCACAGAGTCAACAGCCGACTGGTGGGAACGAGGGAGACGAAGAATTATTAATTGACACTCCTTCTGATGATACGAAATTTACTATAAATTACAATTTTTTTCAATTGGAATCCGTTTTGAGTTTACTGAACAAATTCAATCGTAATGCAAAAAACGATACATTGAAGTTACGATAGTACTCGTAAATTTATTACTATTTTTTACCATTCCGTAGATGTTACATGATTTTTTTCGATGCAATATTACACTTACAAAAAGCGGAACGATGATTTCGCGCATGCATTATTGTAGCTGATGAATTTAATTGGACGTTATCGCGCTAAGACTGAAACAACTCCGTGCAGATGTGATACGACGAAAAAAATAATATTTAAAAAATAATAATAATATGTTATAATTGTTTGAACGAAAATAAAAAACAACATTTTAACTATACGGATGATTTAAGTATATTTAAAGTTTACAAAACACACGAACCATAATAAATAGATCTTTACTAGACCAAAATTTACAATATAGCCGATGGCGCACTAACGACACGACGGGGGAAGGAGGCCTTGTCGAACGGTGTGTCGACCGATGCAATGCCAGAATTACTCCGACTATTGCACCATAAGGCAGGTGAACCGATCGATGCAATGCCGGAATAACTCTGACTATTGCAACATTGACCGATCCACTGGCCGCCCGACAAGGAGTGTGGAGACCGTCTTTTCCTAATCGCGCAAGTCTGCCCGGGTGGGTCTTACTACGAGTTCGGAAAGACGGTAAATGACAAAAATGGTCGTGTTGTTAGGCCTTTTATACTTAGTTCATCAGCGATTACACCGGGTCGGTCTCGTATTTTGTAACGGAAAATACGAAACCCCTCCAGTGCAATCGCCGATGAACGCACAAATAAATATGATAATAATAATTAATATGCAAAAACGATGATAATGAGGGCTAAAGAAAAATCACGATAATAATAACAATAATAATTATGTGCGCGCGGCCTTATCGCGTACAGCGCAAACAATAATACAGGTATAACATAATGATAATGTAATGATTATTATCATGCTGGTTTATTGTCTATGTCTATGCCTACCAATGAGTTATCTAATGGAATTCTACGATATAGTTGACTATGCCATCTATGCACTAGATATTTTAATGTTCGTAGATTAAAAGTCTCCGATTAATACTTGTAGCCCTGTCGCGGAACTTCAAAGGCTCGTTCATCTTGTAAAACATATATTTATCATAAGAGCAGCACAATAATGTATATTACTCAAAATGTAACATATTGTAGTTCAATGAATACACCTACTTATTTGATCACAGCGTTGAACAATGATAGTCGGAACAACTAACGAAAATATGACATGCACACACGCATACACACAAGAACGTTGAGTTTGTTAAGTTTTTAAGTTACCCGTGCTAAGATGGCAGTACTTTAACTGATTTTTTACACGTCATAATTGACCGTTGACGCCGTGAGATGACTCCGGGGGTGGTTTGATCCGGGGGTAAACCCTAACCGAGAGTTTTTCTAAAGAACTTTACTGTTTCGTAGGCTTGGCCATAACTCAACATAATTAACAACAATCATGCGTCGGTCTATTTACCATTTTCCCCTACTGAAATGTAAATATTCAATAAAATCAACAACTCAATTTACAAAAATAGTATTCTAACAAAACATAAACATACAATTATAGAGTAACATAGTAAAAATGAAATTTGATTCGGATTAAGAAATGTTTTCCTAATCCATTATTGGATGAATCCCCCCTCACCGTCGTACAATATTGTACTCGATGTTTGACGAGCGTTAGGAGCCGTAACAATGGTCTCAAATCTGCACACAGTATCTATTAAATTCTTCAAAATGTTTGGACGATTAGAAAAGTTAAATTCCAATATTAATTTATCATATTCGAGTATAACGCCCCGTTGCTTAGATTCGGCGATCCGTGGGACTACTTACAATTTTCTGTCTCAAAAATAATTATTTGCGGGAACAACTATCGTTTGCTCATGTTATGGTTCTCGAATTATTATCAAAGAACATCACTTTATTATTACTTTTGTCGATCTCGACATCTCACTTATTCCCAATTTCATTTTTTTTTCTATATATACATTATTATATATTTCTATATATCTATATATCTCGTTCTACGTATAATCAAATTATTATTGCATTTTGATGAACGTCAGTAATTGATCGTTTCAGAAAGTTAATGATTATAGTAATAATCACTAGGAAATAATAATAATAATTATTTAATACACACTTATTTTTTTTACAATAAGTGTATAAGTACGAGTAAGTGTGCAATAACAATATGATATTATTGGTATGAATTTAATAGCGATTTATTGAAGCAATCAGTGACTTAACTTCAGAATAATAATAATATAGAACGTAGATCCTTATACCATATAAGACCATTAACAAATATCCATGTACAATTATGCACTAAAAAGTGATTATAAGTATTCAAACAAAGAAAATTACTGCATTCAGGCAATAAATTATCTAGTGTTTACCATGAATTATGAAATATGTTGACGATACACGTTCTGATACATTTTTGTTTACATATTCAGAAATTCACAGAATAATATATTCATCTTATTGGAATACCACGTTATAAAAGGTCAACTTCATCATTAGAATATGTATTATTCTTAAGTTAAAATTATATTTTAATAAATCGGTATGAGTACCTTAGTTACATACGTTTAATATAATTAATTAAGATTCGTTAAAAAATAAAATTAATAGTATTTTTTTTTTTTTTACTTCTAGACAATACGTTTTTCCAGGAGGCACCTTCATTGTTTTTAAATCCACTTGACTATAGCGATTAGTTCTTAAAGTTACGTGTATTCTTATTGACTTTCCATTGCCATTGAAATTCCTAGTAGTAAAAATTATCGAACTGTTTGCATTATTTTCTTCTTGTTTAATTATCAAAAATGTTATTGTATTAAATGATCTAAAAGAATATAATCAATAGGGATATAAAGAATGAAAATATTATACATAGGAAATATGACGAAACACTTGGCAGAATCCAAATTATGCATAGTAAAATTAACATATTAGCAACATTTATTAAATTATTGTAATAAATGTATTTAAAAAAAAAAAAAAAACTAACCAATAATTATTAATATATTCAGTTTTAGTAACTAAAACTCATAATTATGTACTAAAAATTAAACTGTTAATACCATGGATTGAAATTAATTTTTTCTAACTAGTTTCCTTATTACTTTTATAATTTTTTCGTAAGTTCGTGAATAATTTAAAAAAATTATTGTTTAATCAGTTCTAGTACGATATTATTCTATTATTTTAATTAACAATAGGAAATCTAGAGAATCTTGTTAAAACGTTACAAGTCCACACCCATGATTTCGTACAAATTGGTACTTATGCGTTTTACCTAGGAAATTACCAATAAAAGCGTTAGTACTATACATATTATAAACATTGTTACTCGAATAGTTTTCTTAGTAAAATATAAATATCACGGCATTGTAAATTAACGGCTTATGGGTATATGGGCGCATTTAATACATACGCGCCCCGAGACAAAATAATTTTTCCACCCTTCTCCCTTGCAAAAAAAATATATATATATATATATATATTTAAATACATTCAAAGTTAAGAAATAAAAAAATTAATTTTATGAAACAAATTATAAATCAGTTGTTTTGCGATATTGTATTAGATAATTTTATAATAATACATATCCTAACGTTAACCTAATTTTTTTTTTTCAGTAAATATTCCTTTCTTAAAAATATATATATAAATATTAAATTTAGAAAACGGAATTTATACATAATATATGCACAATAATTAACAATACATGATTTTTTATTAGATTAAATATATTATATTTATTATTAATTATATATTATAAAATAATCGATAGCTTATAATTTTTTTCTTGACTTTTAAGAAGAAAAATGTTCAATAATATCATTAAAATTAATAGTTTTCGTTAAATCAGCTTCAATGTTGAGGGTTGTTAATTAATTAAGATGATTTACTCTCGTTGTTAATCTTAAATAAGTTTTGACCCTGTAGAAAATGATTTTTCCATTGAACAATTACTTGAAGGTGTACATATATAGTAGCATCCTTAGAGCAATATCAATATAAGGATATATGTACTTCAACTAAACTATTCACTTTTATAAATGCTAATATACATTGAACACTTTTATGTACAATTTTACTCCTTTTGTAAACTTCTTAAATGTGCCCTAAAGTGAATACCACGTTCTGTGTACCCAAGTCTTTATTATAAAAACATTGAACGAAAATATAATATTGAATAATAAATGTAATATACCTATTTTGCTATTTTACCATTGCCTAGGTGACTAGGTATAGTATAATTTTTTTAATTTCTTATTAAATGTTCAACAATATTTTTTTAAAATACTAAACAATACCGAAAAAGGTGTGAAAATTAAAAAAAAAATCATAAACACATCAATAATAAAAGTTAGAATATTTTGCCGTTCCAAAAATTTGCCGCCCGGGGCATTTGCCCTTTCGCCCCCTCCTTAAATGCGCCACTGTATATGGGTATTCACGATTATTGTTAATTGCAATTACTACTCATAATATTCACATACATCTTGCGAAACCCCCAAGTTCCTCTGAACACACTTTGAGAGTCACTGGTTTAGCGGACGAATTTTTTCCGATTATTTTTACATATATAGGGGTGGGGGATTTGCTCGCAGGTTATTCGGCGATAGCGGGTACAGAGGATTGTTCTACCCCAAGTACATCGATACTGGCGACTACTATGCACCAGTGGCCGAAGGAAGTTCGCATTACAATGACGTATTAGACGATTTCCGCGTGTATTGGAACGTGCCCACGTTCCAATGTCACAAATACGGGTACAACTTCACGGAAGTGGCCGAGTGGGGCATACAGCAGAACGCGGACGATGATTTCCGCGGTGACAAGATTAATCTGCTCTACGACCCCGGCTTGTTCCCGGCCCTGATGCAGGGCGGTGGTTCTGAGCGGAGCGACTACGTGGTCCGGAACGGGGGCGTTCCCCACGAGGGTAACCTCACCAAGCATTTGGACATATTCAGCAGGGACGTAGTCACCAAGCTGGTGCCGGACCCTAAATTCTCGGGTAAGTTGTATGTTAGTCGTCGCCGAGTCTATGTATGGCGAGTCCGACGAAAGAGCGAAGGACTGAGACGCGAACGAGACCACGCCAATTTGTCAGAAAATTGAGGGACAGACTCTCTCGTTAGACTCACACTAACACAATCTATCGCTAGAAATCGATATCGGCTCCCTGTAAACCATCGATCTGTAGCACGTACAATCTATCCAGGTTGCGCCATGATGCCATAGCGCGAGGATCTGTAGTGGATGTTAGTCGTATCGACGAGCCGGGGGTAGAGGGACGTGGGATTTTGACCGAGTTTCTGTTTGAATTATAGTTTTCAATCCAGCAACAGGTCACGGTGAAGAGAAAATGATTGTAGAAAACTAAATAGCACCTCTTCATAGTGGATATTTTGTAATCATTGTCAACGTTTTAAAATTCCCTATCAAGTGTATCCATGGATATGACCAAACGGATAATGTTGTCTGTCCACAAACAAAATACATTTGTTACAAAATTTCGTAAATACAATACAAATATCATTAGTTCGATTTGTTTTCAGTTTTATTTTTTATTTTTCGTGTTTTTATGGCGCAGTCTGTAGTCATGCCTGTCACCGACAGCAATATTTATTTTTCAATACAAATATGAATTGCCTTCGCCTGACACTCTGAAAAATAAAATGTATCAATATAAAATGTATTGGTTCGAATATAAAACTCAGGACAATTACTATACATTGTTATCTGAATAGCATACATATTTTTTTAAGTTCATAAATTTTAGGAATTTCCTAAAGTTCTAACTGGATTTGATTGAAAAATCTAGAAATATGAAAGAAAAGAAAAAAAAATGTCCTCGATTAAAACAGGTACTTAGATACAGTGGAGTATCATACATGTGTGCGATGTGTGAAAATGCCACGAGTCCTCGGCTTGGGGTAGGGGGCATTATTGCATAACATTCCACAAAAAAAAATTAAAAAAATTGTTTACAATTTCAAATGGTTCTCATTTTCTTTTTCTGATATTAGTATATCATATTTATAAAATATATAGGATATTGTATTCCTGTGATGTACTGTACTTCTGTGACGGCGACTAAAGGTCTATTCACACATATCAGTCACGAGACGGTTCAGTTCCGGGAAGTCAGATTAGTCTCAGTCATGGAAAATAACGTTTCGCTAAATTTATATTGCGTCATCTACACTCATCAGTTTTCTATCCGAATACGATCCGTCAGTATTCGTTCAGTCACAGATCTGAGAACTTTTGAATTCTCGTCAACGATATTTTCTATTTTGACGGACGAGAATTGTAGGCGAAATGGATGACGAACAACTCATCGCAGTCCCTATTTTTAGTGAACCCCGACACAAAGTGTGTAGTCCGAAACTGCAAGTGTGCACTACGGGATTCGAGAAGTGTGTACCTACTAAATACTAATAAACAAGACTATTACGAAGGTGTTTTTCAGGAAGTCAGTATAAGCAAGATAGCTGATGAGGACTTAAATATATCTATTACATTTTAAGTTATATGGCCCACATAAAAAATAAATAATTTGTAAACAGTTTTCAGATTTATACCAGACAAAAGTATATTTTCAGTTTAAAAAATAATATCAGATTGTTCTTAAGTTTAACTAATTATAATGTGCAATTCGATTAAAAAAAAGAACTATTACTAAAAATTATAATCATATGGAAGGAGGTAGAGAGGAGCTTGTATCATATTGTATATTAAAAAATGTGTAGTACGAATTTTTATGAGAAATAGGGACTGACTCATCGAATGTGTTCGACACTATGAAGTGCTGTACGATCTTTCAAATCCAAAATATATGGACATGTACAGTGTCAAGAACTCTTTTTTGCCATGCCTCATGCACCCACTTTCGTTTCTTCGGTTTCCTCGTCCAAAATGATTGTGTTAATACATAATACTTTGTCAGTGAAATTTGCCATATTCAAAATGTAATTTTAATATTATTAAATTAAATAAATAAAAAATATGAAAAAACATATTTAATACGTTATGTGTAAACACGTATTTGGTACAACAGAATCAACTGACCCGATTTCTCGGAACTGACCGGTCTCGGCGACTGATATGTGTGAATAGACCTTAAATGTTATTTATAGCAATCTGTTTCCCGTGGTTTTTTGTTATCGCCTTGTCCAGTGGCGTAATTGTGTGTGTGTGGGGGTGGGCAAGGGAGGAGCAAGTGCCCCCTCTGACAATTTTTTGAGAAATAGGTATAATTTTGCCTCTCCAGATAATCTAACAGTACAAATAGCACCTTTTATTAATGAACTCCTATGGGTATTATTTAAGAATATTGGTACCTAGTACCTACTACCTACAATTTATGTTTATCTAAACCATAAAATGAGTTAACAGACTTATGTAAAATCAAACAATTAGATATAATGTATAAAATACATACAATAAAAATATAAAAATATGTTTTAATTAGTGAGGAGAGGGGTGTCAGAGTTTTGGTAATAATAAATATATTATATTGTCCCTCCCCTAGATTTTTTCTCAGTTACGCCACTGGCCTTGTCGCTGATAGCCCGTCGTATTGTAGTCATTTTCTTCAGATGTGTAGGTATATCAATATGTACACATATAATATGGACGTCTATGACATATATTTACACGATTAAATATTATCACTACGCAAACGTATTACTTGGATGTAGTGATGAGAATTATCGTTCATGATCATGTGTAAAAATGTATTCCGGAAAGGATTTTTTCAAAAGCTGGCTACACCATTTCCGAAAGACGTAATAGATTATCAACAAAAAAAAAACGGAAATGTAAATATTTTTAAATAGTAATTATTAAATACTATTGCCATACGAAATAAATAAATGAATAAAATATTATTTTTTAATTTTTTATTTTTTAGATTGATTAATTCCGTGTACAGTGTAAAAGATTAGATTTTTTTGAAAAATTATATTTTAATTTAAAATTTATATTATCATATTATTAATACATATATTATGTTATTTTATTTGTATGACGTAATTTCATCTTATTTTTTATGTAATTGAAATTTTAATAAAAATGGAAAGTACCTTATGGATTTGTATAAGATTTTATAGTTTTAGAATAAAAATTCTTACTTTAAATTTGAATTTATATATTTATACCTATATTATTTAGAATAAAAAAATTAAGGTGGGCCTTTTTTTTTAGTTTTGTACACAGGCCTATCTTTGGGATAAACCACCACTACTTAGGTAAATATACCATAAACAACTTAAAAATCAGACGACTGGTGGCCAATCCTGGGTACAATATGTAACTAAAAAATTTACTCGAAAATTTCTGAAAATAATAGTAAAAAAAAAATCATATGTGTTTTTATAAATTAAAAAGCAAATTTAGTTTTAAAATATTCATCGTAAACAAAATTCAAATATTTATTGGATTCATATGTAACGATTGTTTCTAAACGTTTATGTTCAGGGTTAGCTGTTATTGATTTTGAACACTGGCGTCCTATGTTTGAAGAAAACTTTGGTTCATTATATGCGTACCAAGAGTATTCTATGGAAATCGAAAAATACAACCATCCGGATTGGGGAAAAAAAGACCTCCGAAAAGAGGTAAATATCATAACCCGTTATGCAAACTGTTATCCGACATCACCGTAGTGACGAATTTCCAACAAGAACCATTAAACGTGTAATTGTAAGTCCAATCTCGTTTGATTTCATAAAATATTATTCATCTGATGTCGAAACAGTGAAGATACCGGTCAGTTTATACGGCAGAAAAATATACTATTCGATATCGTTTACGCAAACAATCTGTAATATTCTGTATACTTAATTTTCAAACAGCAAAAAGAATATAGGCGTGTTAAGATTATCTAGACACGATAACAACCAGAACTCCCCCACAAAACATCAGAGGATGAGGTCCACATCAAAATTAGTACGTTAAAGTATCAGCAACATTTTATTTAGAATCCACGACTATAAACCACTCTGTATCATATACGAGTATGTGTATGAAAATGTTCGATATTGAATAGTTAAAATCCAATTAAGTTCATCACTTCAATAGTTCTCACGAAGCACACAAGATTGAAAAAAACAGCTTTAAATGATATACATGTGGAAAATGTAGAATGCTTAAATGTCAACGAAATTAATACAGTTAACATTCTAATTATGTATAAGAACGCGCGGTACATACGATTTTGTGTTCTAATCAATTTTCGATATCGTTAAATTTTGAAACGCTCATAACATTTATTACTTATGTAGGCTTCGAGGAAGTTTGAAAAAGCTGCTACTCAGTTCCTGAAGCGGACACTACATATTGCAAAATCATTAAGGCCGTACGCGTATTGGGGATATTACGGATACCCGTTTTGTTTCAATTACACACCGAAGAACGATCAAGCGAAATGTTCGCCGAACGTGATAAAAAACAACGAAAAGTAAGTGTTCTGCCATTTTAAATTTAATAGTAACAGGTTAAACGTATCGGCCGTGATGAGTACCGAACAAATTTTGTGATTGGGTGGTCGAATGTCATTGCCTGTGACAGCGGTTTCCAAACTTTTTTTTTCCGCAGTGCCTTTTTTTGGACTCCATTTAGCCAAGGTGCCCTGCTGTGAATAACAGCAAATATAGAACAAAAAAAATATTCATTGGTAACCAATTTTATTTATTTTATTAAAATTTAACTTAATTATAAATTAATGAATTTCTAAACTTAAAAAATAAATAAATAAAAATTATTGTTATTATTATTATAATTATTACATAAAAATTGTATAAGTTTAAAATGATAATGTCCGAATGTACAATAGAAAATATTTCATTATTTGCTATAAAGTTTTTATGAAAAAAATAAGGAAAAAAAATTCTATACATTTTAAACTATTTGTTATGAACATTAGACCTCGGTGTACAGTTTGGGAGCTGGTGGCCTATGAAATCCACGTTCATGAATTTGCGAGCAATTAATTCGTGAGCACTAATTAATAATAAGCGATCAATGCAATGTAAAATAATACAATTTGACGTTCAACGCACATCGCGTTCATGGTCAAGAATTATATTTAGCAATCAGTGCTACTATTTTCTATGAGTATAACTATTATTATAAATATTTTAAAAAAATATATTTACTATAGCTTCAACATCAGGGTCAAAATTGGACTTGATTTATAATTTTTGTCAAGTTAATGTAACTGTAATATCATTGGTTTATGTTTTAATTAATGATATATTATCGCTGGTCGAGTCGGTTTCGGTAAAGTTAAGACTTATCTTTTTCCTTCTATATATTACATTTCAAACCATCATTATAACCGCCCACAGCTCGTCATATTAGTCATAATAATACATAGCCGATTCGATAAATTAGCGTAGAAAGTTTGCGGGAAAATTATTAAACCGTTATGATTTATGATTATTAAAAATTTAATTGACCTATTCAATTATAGTTATTTCAATGGGTTTTAATAACGTACACATTTAGAAATATTTTTAAATGCTATTATTATAATTTAAAATACAATATGCGTACTCCATAATCAATATTTTACAAGTTAGAATACAACGTTGAGTTAAAATTATCGAAGCGAAATAATTTCTTCGATTAACGAAACATAGTCACTACTATTCGAGAATATTAGATAGGTACACATCAAGATTAAATGTTTAAAAACAAATATTATTTACGTACTTTATTGTACTACAATTCGTTTGCATTATTCCATACATCACAAACTTATAAGGTATTGCTCACATAATTAAGTAACGGTTTGAAACATGCATGCTTGAAGGGTAATAGTTTAATAACATTGCGTTAGGTCTAAATGAAAACTTACTAAAATAATGGAGAACAATTATTTACTTCAGTTTTTTTTTTTAGGTCCAAATGGCTTTTCGAAGAGAGTACAGCTATTTATCCGTCTTTATATTTTAAATATGAAAATATGAATTCGGAAAAGAGAGCTAAGTTTATGCAAGGCAGAATGACGGAAGCCGGACGTGTGGCGAAAATGAGTGATTCGAGAAAATTTATTTACCCATACACATGGCTTAAATACTACGACACGAAACAATTTGTTGAAAAGGTAATAACTAATTACGGAAAAAATATACTCACAACCAAAAAGATAAATACATATAAGTACACAATACGATTCGTTCGGATAAAAACTTATGCTAAATGGATAGTGATTATTATTAATAGGTGTAGCTCATAGGATTTCTAAAGATAACATTTTAAATTTGAATTAAAATGGGCCAAAGTACCCATAATTGAATCGGTCATTTCGAAAAGACCATTGTTCCACACATTTTAAAAACTAGTTTTATGTGATAGATGTGTTTAACTATAGTTAATTTAGTTTATTACTATAGTAATACTTCATATTTCCTGCGAGACCACTATATCATAGTTGGTTTTTTATAAGAGAATTAAATAAAATCAACCCTTTTTCAATTTTTATCTAAATTTAATTTTGATCTCTAAAAACAGTTTTTTACGTTTCCCGACAATTTTCATTTTATGGAGATATGGCATTTTCGAAATAACCGATTCAATCGAAGATGAATACAATGCGAGACACGTGTGGTGTACTACTACTACTAATTTTGCTCAAACCGCATTATATCAAGTTCTATAATATGCAGTGGACATTTTGCTAGTAAATACACGAAAAACTCCTTTCGACTAACATAATTATACATAAATCACGTTTACGCACAGAAAAAAGATGGATGCATCATGCACGTGTAGATCTACACGATATTCGAATATCTATGCATGTGTTGTCTAGTAAGACCACTTGAGTGATCCAGTAGTGATCTGTTAATACAATACATAACATGCTAAACTACTGCCGGATCTCAAAATAATAATCACGTATACAAATATTAATTTGCAGTAGGTACTGTTTATGTTTATTTTTTAAACGGTTGGAAAATACGCTTTTCTTTCTAAATCAAATCGATCGCGTCGTTTACAATTTAAAAAGATAATCTATCGGGATATTCTACGACGAAAATGGTCCGCAGAACACCGTCGATATGAAAATCGAACATCACTGTTAATATTCAATCCTCAACCGACCGAATTTAGATCCGATTGCCATAACTATTATTAGAGTATGTTATTATTCGATTCGCACAAGCGTAACAATTTGGATTTCGGTTTGTCTTCGTCGCGATTACACACCTACTACCGCGGCCCGTGCATATTTCTACCGTTAATTTCTTTTCGCGTTGAATTCGTAGGTATAGTACCGTCTACCGGTAGTCAAACGGTGGTGCGCGGATAAATACGTCGTTTCCGTGCGACGACATAATATTCTATCAGCTCCCAATTGAGTATCGACAATCATTCATACTGACCATGTCCACGAGTGCACCGCCGGCAATGTAAATACGGTCAACAATTGTACTGTCTGTGTTGCTGATCGTGCGATGTACAAGTAATGCTATTGTTTTTCACTTACTTACACGGGTCACGACCCGTGACGTCGAGCACACATGACACACACGCGCGGTAATGATTATGGTAACGTTGTGATGTTACGGAAACCACGACTTGCTACACGATGCGGCGAAAGTCGACGACGAGAAATCTGTATGATCGCCGTACACGACCGCAGCTTGTACGTTTTGAAAAAATAGCGACAAATAGAGTTCGAATGTTAATCGTTAACGTTTTATTCAAACACTCGATCGTTTGCCCTAAAATGTATACCTAATATTACTACATAACTTCGTAGTAATGTAGATGACACGCACCGATAAAACGCACCGAACCTTGTGTTTGCGTCTTTTGTCCCGTGTAACTCGTTAATAAACTCCATTGCATACGATCAACGATGGTCGATGAAAATTGATAACAAAATGAAAACCATCTGTACGGTATTTATAATTTATAAATATGCTGCTACTGGATATAAAAATAATCGATACATACATTCGTATTCTTAAAAATGTCAAATATGCCATTATACGCGAAATAGGTTTGGTCATATGCGGTCTGTGCTTCATGAATCGGATTTACATCATGTTCGGGTGTAAATCTGACCGCGTTGAAAAAATATGCAAAGTCGCAAACATCCGAGCTCTGGCGATAAACATCCACGTCTCCCCGAAACGCGTTCGCCACGCACGGATTGTCAACGTACATTGAAATGCAACGATATCGTCCGAGCACGGTCGGGAACGGAGAACGTAATAGATTTTGCGAATATTTAGCGTTTGAAATTTTATCGCGTGTACACAATATATATCAGAGCATATTTTAACACACAAAGTACTAGTGCCCCTCAGTGGTAATCGAATGCTACCCAGTGGTGGGCGATCGTGGCACCAACCAACACATTCTCGTAACGACCGTAATGACAGGAATTCAATTTCCCTGTATGTTTCTCTGGTAGACAATTTTATCAAAGTGCCGCCCAGTGAAAATAACTTAAAATATGTTCTGATATACACACCTATATTATAACATTCAAGTCTATCACTAAAACGTTTTTATATCTGAAACCGTGTACGTAATTAGGAATACACTTTCCCCGAGGCGCCTCTACGTAGCACCTTGCACGATGTTGTACCACTGAAAACCGTGTTGTTGATTTTGTATTCCGTTTCCAGGACGATCTGATGAATTCGTTTTTGATACCGAAGAAAAACGACGCGTCCGGCGTGATCATCTGGGGAGCGTCGAACGACGTGAACAGTGAAAGGAAATGTAAAGCGATGCACAACTATTTGACCGGCGTGCTCGGGCCCACGCTCAAGTCGTTTTACAAGAACAACCGGAAAGTGGTGAGAAAACGAAAAGCGAAAATCGACAGCATATTCGATTACTTCATCTGATGTCGACCGCGTACAATGATATTATAAGCTCGTGTTTTAATGGCGTTACATTAACCGTTGCGAGTTACCTATATGTGTAAATGATAATACTATTATTATTGTTATTATTATTATTATTATTATTATTATTATTATTATTAATTCCACTGTGACTGTTGTGTACATATAAATATTACTACTAACTTATTATAAATATAAATGAACTACATATGTTAATAAATGTCCGTGTTAATCATTGTTATTGTATTATGTAAATATGTTAAGTGGTAAATCGCACAATCACTGCTACTTGGCCAAAATCCATATGTCTATCGTAGTACGACCAAAGATAATTTCACCGTTGAAGATGATTTTAGAAGTATTGTTTATTTATTATACGGGTATTGCTATTTTTACGTACGCTAAATCTACCTCTGAGGAGAAATCTAACGATAAAGTATCTGAATACTCCGTTAATCATTGATTAATACGTTTTTAAACACTTAAATCAATTATTGAGTTTGAAATACCATCTGAATATAATTGTTACCTGTTAAATTTAAATTTAAATACTGGTTCAACTGGTCGTACGTCGACCACGTTCTAAAAAAACCATTAAATTAAATAAAAAAACATTAAATCGAATTTAAAGAAACGTGTACGTATATAAATAGTTATACTGACGGATTGTACTACAAAACGGATATGTATTCAATTAGCCTTTCTAGAAATCGAAATAAACGAATTACGATCCACAGTTAAATGTTTAGTTTTTGATTATGTGTATATTTCCGAACGCGTAATTAAAATGTTCGTACCAAGTGAATCACAATGCAACGGTGATATTCTTACAGTACTAGTTTAATCTGTGCAACTGTTAATATTTTAAAATTAAATTAAATTATGAATCGTTATTAACACATTCTTTAAACATTATTGCTTGTAGTCCAATACTATTATGTTACGCGATTAGCACGTGAACGTTTAGAAACCATGGGAAACGTTCGTCTTATGTACGGAAACGAGAGAAAATCAGTTCGTCCGACTAAAACTATGCATTCTAATAATTATAATCCGCTCGTACAAAATAAAACCTATTCATGTTTTCCTTTGTTTTTACTTAACTGCTCATGTTTTTATCGTAACTACGCGTTATCGTGTTCAGGTTCACGAGAAACATCACCGTCGTGTCGCTTCTTGTTATGTATCATATACCTATACACGGTATAAAAGCAATGAGGTATTTAGGATTTTGTCAAGGGGGTGGGTTATTTATTGGTCAATATTTCATAAACGTAAAGAGGGCTTCGTTTCCTTAGTCTCATCCATAACCACATATCTCAAGAATGTAACGATTAATATTATTATTGAATATACGAATTAATTAAACTCATTTTTCCAAACATATAATAGCGACTAATAAAGCGTTATAATATAATGTAACATTAATATGTGGCATAAGAAATGTGTATGAACTTTTTTATATTATAAAACACATTCTATATTTTTACATTTTAATTTTACATTTATTGCAATACAAATTCTAACTTCCTCTTTTCTTAGACATAGCTCATATGATGACCTCGTCTGATGAAACTTGAATGTTTCGATGACATGACAATAAATTCAACTCATTTCGTCGATTCTAATAACAAAATTTACATATCTATAATTATAGTGTAATTCAATAAAGATAAATATTAAAGTATGATAAAATATTTACTTCTATCATACTATTCCTAAGATTCCTTTTCGATGAAAAAAATTATCGTTTCGGAGTTGCAGTGGACATAGACTATCTTTAGAAACACGTGATTATTGGTGAATAAAATTCAACTAAATTTTTAAACTTTTCATTTTTTGATTTTTTTGATTTTTAACAATAATGGATCTTGTTGAAAAATACAATTTTATTTTTATTCTCCAAAAGTTGCAATTTGCATCTTCAAATATTCTTTCATGGTTAATAAATCGTTCAGTCAATTGTGTTGTATAAAAATCAATGTATGGTAAAAAAACATTATTACACAATAGTAATGTTCAACAGAACAATTTTGAACATTTGAATTCGCCCTATGGATTTATTTTGAAGTTTTATTTTTAATTAAATTCCTACTTTATCCGTAACCAACCCATTTATTCGAAAATCATTTTTAAACTATTTTTTATTTCAACATAATTTAATTTATAATGTATCTCTAAATTTAATTGTATAATTTTCTCTCATAGTCCTCAAATGCATCACTATATTTTTAAAAACTTCATAGTACCTGTTATAGATAGGAAAAAAAGGTCAAAGGAGGATATATATTCTATCCATCTCCCCCCTCTCCATAAATACGTAACTGTGTAAAAGTAAAAGTGCTCTGGTAAGAAAATTTCAACCCTCCTACAAGAGATTAGTATTCACTCGAATAACATCTTGAGTTTGAATTGTAATTAAAATCAAATGTATAATATATATTTATTTATATATATTTGTATATGTGTTATATATTATGGTCCATCGGTGCTGTCACCTCTTCGAAACGAGTATTTCGATTCACGGGGTGGTGCTCTGTTGCAAATCATATAACCGTACCGTAATATTACTCGTATTAACATGTCTCTTTTTGGCCATACAGTATAGAAATATGGCACACACGTGTACACTTCAAATAAAATGCTTATGGTGCAGTTCATTCTACCAGATGACTGTATGCACGTGTATTCCGAAAACTTCATAATATTTTACATGGTAACAGGCACTTAGTCGTGGGATCATCATTTTATACATTTTCGACGATTAAAAAACATAAAACCAACCTGCAAAAATCGTTGACTGTTCAAAAATCAAACGAAATCGTCTTAAAATAATCAATACCTCTGACTCTGCTTATATGTATAGTACTGTTACATCGTTTGGAATTCTCAAGAGAAAATGCCCAAAGTCAGGTGTGGACCTTGGCATTTTCGTCTTAGCGAGTAACAATCATTTAGCTCAAAATAACATATTTTTCTTACATATAATTGATACACCAATATTTTTATACATTTATGGTAAAGAGCAGTTCAAAAAATTATTGACACTTAATCCTCGAAATGCCTCCTTCGGATTTATTTGGAAATGTAATTTTCTTTCTACGTGTCTTAATAGTTATATTTATTTAGTAATGTTATCAATTTTTCTAAAATATTTAAAAGAGCCGTTTAAATAATTTAAACATAAATATTGGAATGTACCACTGGATAGAAAAACATGGTTCTAATTCCAATTTTAAAATACCGATTAATAATTAAAACATAAGTCAATACGAAACTATAAGGTCATCAGTAAAATATGATTTCACATTTAAAGACTATAAATTTATATTAATTGTATTTTAAATTGTTGAACATAAAAATTCCGATCGAAATTATGTTACTCAATGATCTTATAAACATTGAACGCACGAAATTCGTTTTATAAACATGTATAGAAATAATTTAAAAATGAAAACGTAACACGCGTAATAAATTTCGTCGACTGTCAGCTGATCGTTAACTAAACGAATTTTTTTTTTTTGTTTTCTGTTCTACGAAAATATTTCGGAGTACATATGTGTTTTCTATTTTGTGTATACGATAATTTCGTGTTGCTTCCGTTTGCAATTTCAGACAGTATCGAATTGAGTTATTATACGTTCGTGAAATGCGTCATTCCTTATTGTTTATCATCGTCAGGCGTGGACGACGGCTAGACATAATATTATTATCGAATACGTCCGGGTGTATGTTTTTAGAAATCCGTGAAAATAATCTAATAGGTGTGTGCAAATTCTAAATCAATTCCCTGACATTAGCAACTTTCTGCTGAGCGAGTGGTCTGTCTATATGAATAAAAAAAATAAATAAATAAATAAATAGATAAAAAAAGTGAAAAAAAAAACATACAAAACGTTATGGTAAATAAAATCGCGTCAACCTGCCTACTAGGTGCGGAGTTGTCTGTGTCACGGCGAACTGTGACGATGAACTACTTTTTAACAGGTGGTCGAAACACATCCCTACCGTGATATTATTTGACCATCAATGATCAAAATATTATCATGTATTAAGTAGGGAATCTACTACCTAATACCAACCGTCTACTAAGTACCAGTTTTTCAAAATTTCGTAGATCCAGTAATCACCTTTCGATTTTAGATGGTACCACATTAAGTAGGTACGTATTTGGCGCCATTGACCACTAAAACCCGTCGACCGTAAAACGTACACGTGCGTAGTCCTACATTCCGTGATCATTGATCACCGATCAACATCTACGGAGGGATGATCGTGATATTCGCGCGAACGGTACGAAAAACCGAAGGGTTACGATCGCACACTCGCTTTTAGGCGCGGGGATACAAGGGTTATGGAGGTTGATGCCCTTAGACGTTAGGTAGAACTATATCGAACGTAGGTACTTGAAATATTTAAAAATACGTAAGACAAATGGTAAGACAAAGCCCTCATCCATCTTTTTTTCATTTCTAGATCAGCGTCTGCTCGCTTTGCGAACCGTTAACCTTGCGCGCGTTATATTATCGTTGAACGTAAACATAAATATTTATATTTATTTACGTTTCAAAACGTTCGCCTAGCGATCAATGGTGCGCCCGAAAGGGTTGGATCCGATGATCGAACGTCTCTTTCGTTTGTGCGATGATAGTACGATATTTTAACAGTGCTTGAATTGAGGGGGGACGCAGTGGGACGGAGTACCCCAATTAATTTTCAGAAATGTTTGCACCTCCTTACTAATATTACGTTATAATTATAACGCTTAACAAGTCTTGGGGACGCTATTTTTCTTTTTAGTAAACAGAGTCTCCCTTCTTTAATTTTACCAAGTCGAGCACTGTATTTTATTCATGTTCGACTGCGACGGCGCTCGCCGTCCTGGACCCGTGTGGCTGCCAACTGTATTGCATTTCAATACGTTCGTCTTAGGATCAATGAAACGTTAGCGTTGTCAATTCCATAATAAAAAAAAGAAAAACGTTAGAAATGAAAACAGTAACCGGTAAACGTGTAGAGCACGTACACGTTACGGTACATACACGTTCATGCAGAATAAATTGCGTGGTAAAAACCGTCGGGAGTAAAACATTGTCATTTAAATCAAGTACGGTTTTTTAATAATATAACATTATATTATTTACAAATATTATAATAATAATGCTATTTAAAATGATGCGTTCGATTGTCATTTTTAAACAATTCAATTTAAACAGACTTATAGTAACAGTAGAAACAGTTGTAGTTGTGCTCGTACATTGTAATACATATTACGTTTTTTTCAAATTTACATTTTTACACGACTTCGGGCAGATGCCTAATGCGATATATTTTGTTTTTAAATGTTTGTCAATCGAATAAGAATAATTTACGTGACGTATGTGCAAACACATTAAAAACAGTTTTTCATACAAACGCGTAACATCCATTAAAGTTTTCGTCGGGCCTAATAGTATTTATTCTGATTATTAAATATTATAACATAAATTTGATACTATACAAGCACGGTTTTAATACATTTAATATAAGGAATTGTAAATTGATATTATTTTAGCTAATAATTTTATATGTTCGCTAGTTTCACATGACTTTTTATCCACAAATACGTATAACATTTTAACAAAAATACACGATTTATTTCTATATAATATGTGATAGTAATAATAGTAATAATAATAATAATAATAATAAAAATAATAATAATAATAAAAATAGTATGATACAGAAGTTTTTATTAATAATAACTTGAGCTGCGTACACTTTGTGTTTATAACAAAAGGAAATACCTTTAGTATATATACTCGTATAATGTACAAAATATATTATATACGTGTCTTTCGTCGAGAATGAAGGTAAATCAATCAACCAACCCTTGTTAAAATTGAAAAAATCTGGAACTCATTAGATTAACCAAAGGTTGTACACACAACCACTTATTTCGAGTTCACTAACCCTTAATATAGCCGTTCTCCCTTCGCCGACCGTCACAATACCCCAAATTTAATGGACTCGAATTCCTGAGGCAGCTATTTCTGACATGATATTAACCTATCAGCACAGTACCTTACGTCGTGCTGCAAGGTATTGTTAATGTTCTTTTCTTTCTCTCGACTCATCAACGCCTTATTGATATTTTTAATAAGTACACATTATCCCCACAGACCATACATGTATACTCAATTTATTTTTACTTAGGGATTTTCGAAATGAACTATACCTGTTTAATCACTTCACCGTGTGTACACTCGTGCTATAATATATAGTTTCCAAGCGTACAAACGAAACAGATGTTTTTTTTTCTTCTTTTTCATTCCCCCTTATAAATAATGAACAATCGTCGGGCGTTCCTGCGCATTCCTTTCGGTTTTACATTTATTTTTTATTTTTACTTAATGCCATGGTATCAAAAAAAATCAGGTATGATTCTTACCACGTTGGACGTACGTTTCGTTTTCGAATGAAAACATAAACAGTAAAAATTAATATCAACAGTAATAAAAAATCTATATAAAATATTTACGACAAACAGTATTAATCATATACGTGTTATAATACTATGAAGGATTACAGGACGAAGAAGACGACGCATTGGCCAGACGCCACCGTAAGCGATCGAAGGATGAACGAATGGCTTTTATTCTTGACTTCAGCATGCGGTTGTCGGTTAGTTCAATCCGCAAGAGTTCGTGTCCAACTTGAGCAGATCGTATGACAATGTCCTGCCTCTCGGCTTGGTGACCGTCACTCGGATGACGTACGTTGTCGACGACTTTAGCTTCAACACCTTTTCCACCGACGCCAGCCTGTACGAAATACAACCGATCAGTTCACCATGTCCAATCGTTTTACAATTCATTGTTCATCAGACGAACGATGGAATCGGAAAAAAATAAAGTAAAATATTTACATATATACGCACTCTTTTTCGCCGGTATACCAGCAACGGTATCTTTGGTAATTGCCTCGCCAGTTCCTTCCGTACGACAAGCCGCATTGGTCCTGTTTCGCTGAGAAGTCGACGCTGTTATTAGGTATATCGTTCTGCAGGTATACGCAATACTGTAAGTCCTCGTTGGACTTTGCGGGTAACCAACCGATTGTCACCGAATGGCAATCGTCCGGTTTCACGTATTGTTGGATCCTCAAATCGCTCGGCATGTCTGGCATCGGAAACATCCGGGGCCGTACGGTGGCCATTACCTGTGTTAGTGAACAATGCATCGTATACTATCTGTATGTGTTATCATATCGATGCAACTGGTCGAAAACAATTAAATAATTCTTGGGGAAGAGTGCGTGTAGGGGGGAAATATTAATTATTAGTCGATGGAATAAGAATTGCAAAAACATTATTCGTTCGACGTTCGAATGAATTTCAATAACTTTGTAAATTTACCTCGATCGATTTTACGCGTTGAGTCTCGTCCAACGACACGGTTTCCACCTTCAGGACGTACCTCTCTCCGTATTTGGTGTTGTCCAAGACTATTTTCTCGTAACCGAAAACCCTTTTTTTCACCAGTAATGTTTTCCTGCACCGGATCTCTACGTTCACCACTCCGTCGCACGTCATCACGTACCAGAACAGTTTGTTGGGCTCGGCGCCGGGTTCTCTCGATCGGTTGCCGACCTGAAACGGTTACCAAAAATATTAATGGTTCGACCGCGCCCGACGTTATAAAATAATATATAATAATCGTAAAATATTGTTCCCACGCGACTAGAGAACAGCCCACCAACCTTGTACCTGAAGGATGCTTTTCCACTGTGCGCCCTCAAGTTTTCGATCCTGGGCTTTGCGTCTTTCAGAGCAAACGGTTTGGGCTTTTGATATTTGAACGTGGTGCTGGCGTATTGGGTGTATACGCGCATCTCGTTGAGAGCGAACACGGTGAAGTAATACGTTCGGTCGTAAATTAAATCCGTCAATGTGTAGTTGGTGTGAAATCCCAAATGATGTATCTGAAACGGGAAAAACACGTGCGTGAGATGGTTAGAGTGAGTAATCGTCTCAGAAGACACGTAAAGCGTGTTAAATTTATTAACGAACGCTCCGTAGTGCGGTGTGATACAATATATTATTGACAAGTGGGCGGTATTTTGTGTCATAATAGTATGATACGACAGCTGCTATTTAAAATTTTGCACCAAGGCAAAAGGGACGATGTACAAAATGAAAGATAGCAGTCTCACGCGGAACTGCACAAGAAGAATCGAATTCGTCTCATTTCGCTCTCCACGTAAGTAAGCAAGGATAATATTTTAGAATCTAGTTCAACAATCAAAACGTTTTTAAACCGCCATCAGTGATTCCAACTGCGATGTGTTGTGTAAATTTTAACTGTTTTTAAACTGTATAAAATCTTTAACTGAATAAATAAATAATTGTTTGTGTGTATTAGATGATCTAACTAAGTACTCACCTCCAATCTGTAGTCTGTTTTGTCACTTTTGTGTGTAACATTTCGTTTCAGTTTTTCTTCGAGTTGATGTTTGGCTTCAAGAAAAGTCGAGTATATATTTGAAGTGCTGATCACAAGACTGTATTGCGTAAAGTGCTGATCGATATGGCTGCAAATATATATATTATGCCAATGTATAAACAAATAAATAAATAAAAATGTTATGTTTGAAATAAATTATCGCAACTGAACCTAAACATATACCTGGGATTCCATTTTAGACTGACTCTCTGACCGTTACTCTTAACCGTTAATTTGTTCGGTGGGATATCAAATTTTCTAATCAATGAATTCGGTCGAAGCGTTACGTAAAACGTTATATTCGATTCGACGTCTATGGTTTGAGCAGTTATCTCGTAAAGGCCTCTGGTCGCTTGGTGGTCGTACGTCACGGGTGTGGATACGCCCGTGTATTCCACCAGTTCTACTCCCAAGTTGCTGGATTTGTTATTGCCCACTAGAATGTACGGAAAAAAGAAACCCATTCGCAATGAGTATCTAAATTATTTGTAGTGTAGCAATAACAGGGGACTGGATCTGAATGCTAGAGAAAATAACTAAAAATACCCTTTAAAAAATGAACTGTATATATTTGTTTTAAATAATTTTTTTATTACGTACTTAACTTGAAATTTACAAAGATAAGCAAAATTTGAAAAATTTGATTCGGTGCATGAACGATTCAAAAAAATTAATAAAATTAATAATTTATCTTTAGATAAAATAGTTAAGTTTAAATAATTTAATGTACAAATACGCATTAAGAATTGAAAAATTACCGGAAAATTCTAAAAATGTAAACACATCGAAGAATACAAAACAAAATTTCACCTTTGCTCTAACTTTTGAAGTATCTGTTATACGAAACGAGTAATGTACATAAAAAACACTGTCTAAGGTCAACCGAAAATAATGCACTTAATGTTAGAATCTGGACCCTACATTTACAGTTCTTATAACAGAAGGTATAGAATATCGAAAATTCGCCCGATCTACGACGGACCGCGAAGTATTGCCACACGTATATCATTATAGTGACTGTATAAACTTACGTATTATCTTTTGCTTGTATTTGTTGGGTATGAATTTCAACTTCCAATTAATCCTAGTCTTGTTCGGCGAGACGGTCACGCACAGATTTTGGTCGGTGTCTTGATGTATCAAAAAATGAAACCTATGCATATAATAAAACACACACGCACGTCTTACATCAATATTTTCAGAGTGTTGAATATTATCATATATTAACAGGTGTAATGGTGAGAAAAAAAAAACACCCATGACATATACAAAAGGATTTTTTTGTGTGTAATAATGAAATCGTCGATCGTTGACGACCTGGAATTCCGGTTTTAGGGGATCAAAACTCGAAATAAACGCCATTGTTCGGCAGCCCGACCGCGGGGCAATGGCACACGTACACACATAATGTAATATTGCTTGTATAAAAAAAAGAGGGTTCTCGAGCAACGACACTACGTTGTTGGTTTCTCTATTTCAATAATATTATACGGCTAAAATCTCAAATAAATCTTGCGTGTGATTTTTCCCTTGTTCTTAGCATTACGCACGCTACTATTTTCCTTAACACGCAAAATCTCTGTATGGATAAAATTTACTTCGTTTGAATTTGAGTGATGTAAGTATTATATAATGTAGGTAAGACAAAATTACAAGTTTTCACCGTAAAAACAATTTTACGCATTAATTAAATGAAATAATAAACGACGGTGACAATAAGTAATCGTTTGTTTCCATTCAGGTATGCCTGCAAGATAATTGCAGCTGTGAAGTATTAAATAGAGTTTTCCAGTTTTTTTGTATTCAACGCTTACCCTACCCCCATGGTGGATTTTCAAAAATCTCATACCTACTGATACCTTATGACTTTTGTTTGTTTTGTTATTATCAAAAACCATAACATTCGATAAAAAATAAAAGTAAATTACGAAATATACATTTTTAAATAGTTTTTAATTTAACACCTAAATTTATCGCCCGATTCTTCTCTCTTCTGAAATCACGTTAGATGACCTATTGGGTTCCTCCGTTCCTTCAAATCTGATTTATATTACTATTTTACTAACAAATATTCGTGAATATATTATGTATTATTATTATATTATTAATATGTTATACATGTGTTGAACCAATATTGAACATTAAATAACGTATACACAAATACAGAACGATTATTGTTGGTTTTTGTAATATTACCAAGATTTTAGTACCGTTTTATAAACTACTGTTACGTAGTATTTTATTATTTGGATACCCCAATTACTGGTGTTTCTGAAATTTACTTATTCTAAAAAAAAAAAAATAATTGTATGCGTGAGTAGGTTTTAGCGATTATTTTTTTTCCATATAACAGATATGTATAAAATTATATACATTATAATCGATTATTTTCTATACGTAAATTATAACAGATAATATCAGTTAATAAATTATAATCGTTTATAATCGATACTTACACTAGAATCGGTTATTATTTATACATGAATTATAATCGATATTAATTTGTACATAAATTATAATCAATCGTAATTGATAAAATTTTATAATAAATTAAGAATTATAATCTGAGAATCAATTGTAAGGACTAAACCGATTATGTGATAATCGAACTTGATAGGAATTTATAACATAAAAAAACAAGTGAAAAATTCTTACACTTCTTTGTAAAAAGAAACAGAAATCAACTCAATTCAGTATATTTATAATGACACAAAACTCGTTCAGATTCCTACTATTATAATAGTAGTAAGAAGAATTTTAAACAATAAATATTACTACTTTAATTACAATATTGTGAGTCCGTGACCGATACGAAAACATTTTATATTTATATTATATTGGTAAAATATTTTTTAATAATGTATGAATTATCTCGGTTATAGTTAATTTTCGATTTTAATCAAAGTCAATTGATTACCGACCTTTTCACCTTTTTGATTATATCAATTATTAATAAAATATGGAAAATAATTGATAAATCAATTAAAATTATCCGCTCAGTACTGCGCGTGAGCATGTCGGCACGATTAATCACAGACAATTAACTAGCACTAATTTTATCATTTAACTGTTTATAATGACGAATAAATGAATAATTAAAAAAAAGGACAACGTTTAGAATCCCGTGTGTTGTGTAATTATTTCCCTTCGATGTAGTACAAATGGGTACTTGGTTTCATTGTAAAGTTCTGTACACCTTTGTCAATTGTTCCCAGTATATTATAATAGATACACCATCGGTCACAAGTACTCCGTTAAATAAATCAAAACAAAATATATCCCTGTGTTATTCGTATTCATAATTGATACTGGAAATATCAGAAAAACGATACATAGTTCTATAATAAACCCCGTGTGTTTCTCAACAACCTCGATTATCAATCAGACGAACAAATTGGTCATGCTTGACTAAGTTAAAGAAAGTTAAAGAATTTATAACAAAACGCGGATTGGAATCGTAGAAAAGCGATTAAACGATGATCGAATGCTATATCAAAATAATTTGATGGCTATGGTTAAATGGTGATGACACTTCATAATTATGTTAACAAATTTCTATCGAACATTATTTAATTTAGTTGATCCATAATTCGATTAGTCTAGTAGGCATTTACTAGGCGTCTGACTGATAATGAGATTAATCAGTTTTGATGAGGAACATCGAAATACATCGGATGGTTGGTTATCCGATTAATAGTTAAAATTGACGAGGAATACACGGATAGTCTTTGTACATATTATTCATTATTAAAACGATACTAGTCTAAGAGATGAAATAAAATTCGTGTTTTCCGAACATTTTTCTAAAAAGTCGCAATTAAATATCGAGGGGTGAAAATAACCTAGGGAACTCGGGAAAACAATCGGCGGGGAGAAAGAGTGATGGACCGCGTAAGAGATGAAGTGCGCGGCGTTACGTGCACGCTAGCGAGAGTGAAATGTGCTCGCAGTCGGACATAGAGTGAGCGGGAGAAACAAAAGTACGGTTTGCAGCGAAGGGGGTGAAGAGGTAGCCGTGAAACAGTGACCATGAGTTTGGTAACAAATTCGCATGTAAATACGGATTAAACTCGCATCAGGAGACGTGTAACAATACGCAGTACGGGTAGTCGTCGGAGAATACGAAAAAATTAATTTATTCAAATGGTAATATTATTACGTTGCTCGTGCACTCGGGGAGATACCGTATCATTGGCGTAACTAATCGGCGTCCCTAACTGATACAATTTTTGTATGAAAATTTGAAGTATACATATCATGTTGTTTTGTTAAACGTGCGGCATTTATTACGAAACGATAAATGAATATAATTAACGAATAATTAACAGGTGTACAATGTAAAAAGAAAATTCAGTTTATTACTGTAAAAAATGTATTGAATGATTATTCTAATTCAACGCTTCGGTGGTGGCGCGATGCGAGTTTTATTGGGGTGGGTAGGTAGTGTTGTGCAACAGAAAAATTTAAAACATAATTTGCCCACTATTTGACTAAATGTAATAAATTACACAACAATTTGTTTGAACTCTGTGATTTTTATATTTTAAATTTTGACTTGTGGTGGGTACACGATACACGTAACTGCTTCGTTAGAAAATAAACTTCACTGCTGATTGCCGCTGGAATCAAATGTCTCGAAAGTGGCCTAAGCCCCGGTCGCCCAGGTTTCCTTACCATGACGACTAGTCTTCAACGATCGTTCGTCGCATGGTGTCACGGTGAATCGTCGGCGGAGCGGTCGACCACTGCACGAAGACGATCACCGATCATTGTTGTAACGCGTGACCCCAATAAAGGGACACGGCGAAACGCCATCGGAATACAACAACAATAATAATAATATAATTGATATTGAATTAATAATGAATTTCGGATATGCGGCGTGATCGGACGCGAAACAATGCACGCCGGTAAACACGTTGTTTTCGTCCGCGAGCGCATAAATCGCCACTAGATACAAAATTCCGGACGCGCGTACCGACGGCTGTAGGGGTTGATTTGGTCCGGTCTCTCTCGGGTGCGAAGCAACGTATGGACACGTCGTGGGTGCACAAACTAACTGGAGGGGGAGGGTGCTTGGAGGGCTTCTGTTAAATCGTATCAAACGGACTACGACGAACGATTTCAATAAAATATCGTTTCACGAAACTATTGAAGTAGAAAATAAACTATTCATTTTTGATTTTATTATTGATTATTATATGTAATAGGTACTCATTGATTTTCTTGTTGACGATTAATGTTTTTCGATTCGTTGTGTAACGGCCGATGCCGTTTATGCGTTATAAGAGTGATGATAATGAATAAATGCCGAGGGGCTTCGATCCATTTTCCCCTTCACTCGTGAAGTGTTATATGTTGCTTATAGTGTTGTCTAAACGGTAGGTATTATTTATCAATTTATATGAGTAGCGAGGGAAGCGATCAGTATTTTTTTTAAATTTTTTTTATGGCCTATCATTACCTATTACACCAGAAGCGAACGGTCTTTTTTAAGGGTCTATTGGTGGGCTTGGGCGCCCACCAATATTCATGCACAGCGCAGGAAAGCGTAAAATCCATACACCGGCGGTAGCCGCGGTCGCGCGTTGTCGTTTATCGAAAAAGTCTACGTCAGAGGTGGGGTGGCGTTATTGTTGTACGCGCATTATGCAAGACGACGATGACGTCGTGCGAGCGGCAGCCGTTGGGGAACAAGAAAAAAATTTCCATCACCCCGTCCCGCACCGTTTGCCCGTTTTCGTCGCGACGTCATTTTTTTCCCATATTGTTTATTCATTTTTTTTTTTCTCGTATTCGTTCTCAATCCTTTCCCCCTCCTCCCCGCGCGCGCCATTAACGTTATTGTTGCGTCGCGGTTCGCACGTCACACGTTATCGATGCACATCTCCGGGTTGTCGGACTCTCGGTACGGTGACCTGACCTGTGTTCGCGAAATCGCGGTCCGTACCGTGAAAACCGGTACCGGCGGTAGGTATATATATTACGGTAGTAATTTTATGCGCGAGATGCACCGGGGGTGGTGAAGGGGGGCGATGCGCCACCGGCAAAAATACTGTATTCGGCGGTTTCGCGAAAAAATTAATAATAGCCAAACGAAACGGGATTGAAACAAAACCGTGTTACCGTTGTCCCGTTGTTGGCGAACGTGTG